GACATTCAGAAGCATATTCACTACTATTGTGCTGGAAATTCTTGAAAATGTGGACCAAAACAAATCCTTTCTTAGCATTTTCAACAAGGGTATTTGGGGCTTACTCTTACAGGGGAAGTGAGGGGAGGAGGAAAGGGGGTGGTGGTCCAGAAAATCTCTCTCATGTATGGGACATGTATAGGATAGGCTCATGTAGCTTAGGATTTTTCTTCTACTGTGGTTGCGAGAGTTCCATTGGCCTGTTTTCTGCTCATATGAACCTGCCTTAATAAGATACTAATAGGTACTCTGAAAAAAATATTGCTGAAGTAGTGCCACAAACTTGCACATTTGACATCAGCAAGTTACACAAGCATGCCAGAACGTATCAGGTAGTTTTTTTGACAAAAAAGGTAGTTAATAATGACAGACTACAAATACCTAATGCACCTTAGTCAAGCCTGTAATTTAGATTTTTGTTTTTTTCAGACATCCAGAGTTTGGTATGCACAACCCAGCCATACACAAAATAGGTGCAGTCAGGGTTGGATACATTTACCGAAGTTAAATAAAAAAAAAAGTCACAGTTTCTGGTTAACTGCACTACTAATATTTTTCTGATGCCTCTGAGCAGAGGAACTTGAGTTCTCAGGCCATCCCCTCCATCAGAGGTCAGGAAAACAGACCTTATAATGAGAGGCTGAGAGCCATGGGACTCTTTAGCCTAGAAAAGAGCAGGCTCGGGGTGATCTGGTGGCCACGTATAAGTTTATCAGCGGTGTGCATCAGGATCTGGGGGAACATCTATTCACCAGAGCGCCCCAAGGGATGACAAAAATCGAACGGTCACAAACTCCGGCGCGACCAATTCAGGCTGGACATAAGAAAACTTCTTTACTGTCCAAGTCCCCAAGGTTTGGAATAGACTGACACCGGAGGCGGTTCAAGCACCCACTTTGAACGCCTTCAAGACACATTTGGATGCTTATCTTGCTTGGATCCTATGATCCCTGCTGACTTCCTGCCCCTGGGGCAGGGGGCTGGACTCAGTGATCCTCCAGGGTCCCTTACAGCCTGAATTTCTATGCATCTTGGCATGGAAACATGTACTCCTAACTCTCACACTGACCATGGGCTGAAAACCACCATCAGCTCCTATCGCTCGCATGAGGTGCTAATTTGTGACCAAAAGCTTCCTTAAAGCAAAATATCATTTGCAAGGGTCATTCAGAAAGTAATGCCTCCTAGTTTTCATCTCCTAAACCAGCCATGGACAGGATGGGCACTCCTGTTGACTTCTTGCATAAGGGAACAATAAATAGGGGACAAGTTCAAGACCCTGAAAAAATTGAGATGGGGACAGGTCTGAGTTGTTGCTTCTGCATGACATCCCTAACCCACACACCAGCTTGTGCACTAGAAATGATGAGATCATCATTTAGATGGAATGTGTTGCCCCATCCTCCCTACAGCCCAGAGGATGAAGAATGGACTATGAGAGAAACATTTCTGAGATTACAGTAAAGTGATAGAAGCTGTGCAACAGGGACTGTGCAACAAGGAATTTTAAATATTGGAATATGTGGCCTTGTTCACCAGTGGAAAGAGGCCATCAACAGCGGGAAAGCACTGTGAAATACAGATGTGTATTCAGTGATGTAGTACTCATTTTCTATTCAAGTTAATTTATTTGTCAATGTTTCACTGAGAAAGGCATAAGAGGCATTACTTTCTGACTGACTTCTATACTTAAATCAAAACCATTTGAGAGACAGCATAACAAGCAATAAACCAGCCTAAAGGTAATGCTGGTTCTTCCCCCCCCCCCCTTAACGTTTACCACTCCCTCAATTTGGAAACGCTCCGTTCCTTTAGATTATTTTGGCACAATCTACAGTTTCTCCTGGGACAGTCGCTGCTCTCCCAGGAGAAAAAGTCACAAGTATATAGATGTTCAGTCCTTTTCTCCCAACCTGGCAACAACCATGGTTAAGTCACTCCCAGAAGAGTCTGTACATACTGTGGCTTTTCTAAAAAGATAACAGCCCTCCAGCACTCCACTTAACTGCCAAGGGAGACACTGTGTCACTGGCTGAACTCTGCTGCTCTAACAGGGAGCATAATGTGCACCCTTCACAATCCCTACATTGTGGAGTAGGGAAACACAGGCTGACCATATGCAGCCTGGGTCAGCCAACCAGGGCTACCCTATGCACTGCAGCCATCTGTTGCCAGGCAGACTAAGGAATCCTACAGAACATGCCGAGATGTGTTCACAGGCTGTACAGTATCAGCATTTGCCAGCTCTCCCTTCTTCAGGGACTTGGCATTTGAATGTCTGTACACACAGCTCTGAGTATTTTTCTACAAGAAGAATAAAACTGGGAGAAGTTTCCCAGATTACTTGAATGTGTGTAAGCAGTCTTAAGACAGCTATTCACAAATGACACGCACTGTCCTTTCTTTATACTTGTATTTTTATCTTCTTTTGATTTCTAGTTCCCAGCCTGGCAAACAAGGCAGGTTGTATGTGGATCTTAGAAGCTAACAGATAACCTCCCAGTATCCTTCTAATATTTATTTAGAAAATCTTGCCTGGGAAGGCATCCTTTTGCCTCTCTTTGCTCTTCCCACAACCTTTACATAAACCCAGTATAAGCCTTAAGTCACAGTGTCTCAATAACCCAGCTCCGTATCAACACTCTTAAAATAATTTCACTGAAGCTCTTACAGTACTCATTTTGCTATTCCATATCAGTTCCTCTTGTCATGTATGCTTAACCTGAATTTGCTGCTTTCACAGAGAAAATAGCCAAACTACTTGCATGTTAAGAAGTAGGTACCTACACTTCCCAGAGCAGATTAACATTAGTTACAACAAGAAAAGGGTACATCTGAAAAGTGAGCAAACGTTTTGAACTTTAAAAAAAAAAAGAAACTTACCACTGTAATTGGGTAGAGAGGATTTTGAATTGATAACAGGAGAACTTTGTTTCCACCTGATGGATCATCAGTATTTCCTGGCCGAGTAATCCTTTTGCTTGTAGAATAGTTGAAAAAGGCTTGCTGTCCAGCTATATATACAGGTTCATCTGCTGCAAAAGTGACACACTTCTTGGCACTTTCTACATTTTCAAACTCCACCAGAGCCTGGCGTTTAAATGGCATCATCATGACATAGCTAGAAAAACACCACAAAAGTTTTCACAATATCTATCACTCAGCAGTCATAAATGACAAGCTAATTTGCTAAAAAATTCCCTGAGTAAAAGCGTAAGGGAGACTAAATAAGTAACCATTTATTTCCTTATTCCCTAAATCTAGCAGAATGTAGTTTGTACAGAGTTAAATCATTTATCATTAATTTATATAAGCAACATGTTTTTCAGAATATAAAATATAAATTAGAAGTTTGCAATGTTCATAACTATGTAACAGAAATTTACTAACATGATACAACAATAGCAAACCAAAAATTTTACTTCCAATTCAAATTTAAAACATCTTTATTGCACCTAAGTAAACCATATTCAAATGGAAATTACGAAAAGATCAAGCTGTCAATAAGACATCATGCCAAAAACACATTACAGAGGAAGGGTAGCTTTAATGCTAGAGGTAAAAAGAAAAGCCAACATTCTAGCTACCTGACATACTTTATCAGTGTTTTTCAACCTTTTTAAACTCAAAGTACCATTGGAAAATGCCAGCTCATAGATTTCACTCCCTTTTTGATTATGGAAAAAATACCATATTTATTCAGCCAAGACAAGCAGATGGCTAGCCTAAGATAAATGTGGACACATGACACCTATAGCAGTACAAGTTAAACCAATATATTTTTACTGCTGTTTTTTCCTGGAATAACTTGACATTGGAGTCTACTGTTATGCTGGAATAGAGTTATATTGTATTTACTCAAATCCAAGATGCCTTGTTTTTTTTCCATTAGGGCCCAGGGCTGAAGCTGGAGCTGAGCCACTGCTTGCCTCAGGCTGGAGTGGTTTGTGTGACAGGGGGCACATGGGGGAGACCATGCAGTGGGGTTGTAGGGCATGGAGGTGACCCGCAATGTGTGGCTTGGAGGGAGTACAGGGGAAGCCACATAGCCTGCCATCCCCGCCTCTTCACCCCGCAACCTTCAGTTCCAGTTCCAGCTCTTCCAGCACTAATCCAGCCAGGCCTCAAACGGCTCTCGCTGCTTCTGGCCTGGCCAGGTTGGGGCCAAGACTTCCCCAGAGCCAGAGCAGAGCTCCCACAGAAGAAAGTAAGCAGCAGGGAGGTGCAAAGGGACAGGCATGTAGGAAGATGGAGGGTGACCCATGACAGAGAGTCAGGAACAGGCAAGGGGAGGTGGGAGTGGGCAGGCACGGGGGACAGCCTTTACTTTGGCATATTCCAAATCTAGATGCATTCATTTTAACAACCTTAATGCCACGTTATAGTTTTTAAATTCAGTTACAGTGAAGTTAATTCCCGGAATAGTTGTGCTATTGAAAACTTCATGGTAAAACACTAAGTAGGAACTCAGAGTACAGAAATGAAACTTAGTTTGAAGTCTGATTAGTCTGTTTTCTGTTCAAGATGCTACCCCACTTGTTTTGGCATACCATATTAAGTTATTGATCTTATTGAGATTTAAAGATGTCTAAAATTAATTAGTTTTGTTCTCAATGGGACTTTACACGAACACTCCCAGTTTTCCTTGAACCACCACAACAAGATTTTACTGAATTCAACACACCATATGGTTCCAAATTTTTCAAGAGCCTCCACAAGGTCTGCTTCCACAACTGATTCACAGAGTCCTCGGACATGGACAACAGGAGAAACAGAAACTTTGTGATGACTTCCGCCTGCATCCTACCAAAAGTAAGAAGACATTTTGAGTTGAATGTACAACTAGAAACATAGCTATAGTTAATCCGTCATAATACTACTCATACCTGGCCGCAAGATCTCAAGTCATACTTTAACTTGCTGAATTTTTGCTTAAAGCAAACATGGTAAAAACAGTTGGCCAACCAAGAGTTTAGTTTGCAAGCCTGGGTTCCTGCATTAATAATAAAAGGGGAGGAGTGGGGATACAAAGATTCAAATCTCCCAACCAGGGGTGAAATATATTCAGATACGGGTATAGTATCTAGTTTTTTCAATTATCATTTCAGTATATTTAAGCCAATTTTTTTGTTTGGGACACAGAATGGAAGAGGATTAGGATGTCATTAGTGAATCAGCCTGGAGACAGGATGAAAGTAAGTTTAAGAAAAAGCAAACAATGGAAGAGCCAAAAAAACTACATTAAAAGGAAGCATTAAATATATTGTCACACGAACAGTTGTTGTGCTCAGCACTTTCTACACTGTAGAGCAATGCACCATAAAGTTAACCAATGCAATTTTACCTAGGCTAGTTTTGTTGAAATACAGCTACACAAATAGGACATGATCTTCCTGCAATATAGCAGGCATCTTAACTTTTACTTCAAAGATACTTCAGAGTCAAGTGATTAAATATACAAGAGCTTTCAATCAGCTTCTAGAACTGTCTTTTCAATAGTTAGAGATAGTCCCCTCTCTCTTTCCCATCAACTTTTAGCCTGTAAATCCACAGAAACTGACAAGTTTAAAAAACACATGGGTTTATAGTGGCTTACATACTTATATGTAGGTATGCACCAGTTATGTTCTACAAGTTCCTTGGGAAAGCAAGATTTATAATTTCTCTTTAAACCCACACAGTTCTTCCTTTTGCATCACTGATTTACAAACTTTAAGACAGCTTAGTTGAAAATGAAACATTAAGCATTTATTTGAAATCTTAGTTTTACATTATAGGTACCAGCATACTTAGTTCTAAAACAACTAGTTTTTCAAAGCACATGGTCACTGGAGAACATCACCTATCATTTGCTTGAGACAAAGTATTTCCTAAATTAAATAAGTATTTGAGGTCTACTTGGGGATATAGTGATAAAATTAGACATAGAAATTTTACACTTTGAGCTGCTGACATTAAAGGTTGTGGAAAGAACTCAGCAAAATACACAGTGCTTTCTTTTTACATCTTACTCTGTTCCTCTCTACAGATAATCCTTTCAAAGGTGAAACAAAGCACCTAAAACAGCAACTTAACCCAAAGTAACTGCTATGAAGTAAAAGTCCATTATATTGCCATATAATATATTCTTTCCTGATGCTAAGAAAATAGGTACTTCCATTTTATTTACAGCTTAATTGAAGTTTTCATTAACTGTTCTTTTAATTTAAACACTCACTGATGTATCTACATGAATCTATCAATATTAGGACCACACACTTCCCAGCACAATGAGACACCCCGAAGACCTTTTTAAATTTTTTTTCAAGTGATTTGAATCACAGAAACTACACTGCCTCCATGTCCAAGACAAAAGGATGGCCAGAGAGCAGGCAGGATTTTATAACAACTGAATTGTGAGAGTCTTATGAATAAAAGTTATATTTCCGAATTGTTTGCTCTCAAGGAGAGCAGAAAAAATTAAGTCAAGCTCTTCGGGAGAATGAATCACAATGAAACACACTTTTTTCCCTTCCCCTTTCACCAGTTCTACTCCCCAACCTTTGCTCATGCTTCTTTGCTACTTGTTTGCTATCTCCCCTGACCACGATGGTCAGCCATTTGGATCCTCTGCTACCCTAGCAATTTGGCCTCGTCTCCTGAACCCCAGGATGTTCTTCTGTTGAAAGTTCTGATCCAGCCACAGAGAGTAAATCCAGTTTCCTACTTGTCATTTCCCCACTGGAAAGCTTCCACACTTCTTTGACAAAAAGGCAGGAACTCAGAATCATAGAAAAGTTAGGGTTGGAAGGACCTCAGGAGGTCATCTAGTCCAATCCCCTGCTCAAAGCAGGACCATCCCCAACTAGATCATCCCAGCCAAAGCGTTGTCTAGCAAGGTTTTGAAAACTCCCAAGGATGAAGATTCCACCACCTCTCTGGGTAACCTGTTCCAGTGTTTTACTACCCTCCTAGTGAGAAAATTCTTCCTAATATCTAACCTAAACTTCTCTTGCTGCAACTTGAGACCATTGTTCCTCATTCTGTCATCTGCCACCACTGAGAATCGCCTAGCTCCACCCTCTTTCAAACACCCTTTCAGGTAGCTGAAGACTTCCACAACAAATCATACCACTGATTTACCAGCATTTATATCTTATTCTGCTCCACAGAAAGGTGCATGAAACCCCATAATCTCAATAAGAAAAAAAATGTCTGTCTACAAATGAAACTTCTTTCCTAAACCACTTCAGGTAACCATTAGCACTGAGCATATATTTTGAGAACTGGACCTTAATAACTCTACAGTCTTCCACAAAGGGTTAACCAATGTAGAGATCAAGACCAATTATAAACAGTTCAAATTACTTTCTGAAGAGCTTGGAAATCTGTGAGGTTGGTTAGAAACAAAGAAAACTAATTCTGTGCCATATATAGGCCATGTATGGTCACAGTTTAGCAATCATTAATAATCCCTTCCCTTTTTCTCAATTATTGTTTCATAAACTGGAGACACAGGAAATAAGTAAAGGAGAATGCCAGAGCTATTCATACACTGATTTTAAGTCTGTTTGGGTTGTAATGCCAAATGTCTAATGACAAATTTTCACAAGAAGTGTGCATGTGTTACAGCAGCAATTCCCAAAGGGTGTGCCATGACAGATTAGTGTGCTGCGAAAGATTATACTTTTCTTTCCTCCTTTCTCCTTTTTATTTGAAATTGAGGAAAAAAGTATGCACACAGACAGTACCGTGACAAGGAAGTCTGGCGCCCAGGGCAAAGCCTATAGCGGCAGCCCAGCCTCACCCCATGCACAGATCCAGGGGGCACCTCTGCCCCGCCATGCTTCCCTGGGAGTGCATGCTGCGGTGGGAGCTGCCCTCCCTCCACCCCCGCAGTCCCCCCAAATGAACCGCTCATGGATCCGTTCCATGCCCCACCCCAGCTGGGTAGCACCTGTTGGTGCCCCTTCACTTCAGCGCCTGAGGCGGTCGCCCCATTTGCCCCCACTTGCTATGGCACTGCACACAGCAAGATGCAGCACTGTAAAATGGCTATGGCCCTGGGGTGCAGGCAGGGTGCAGCAACTGCAGTTTATAGATGTCGGATTCCAGAACAGCTCTCCAGAGGCTGGAACCTGCACATGTGCCACAGCTGGAGAGTAAAGGGCTGAAAGAAATGCAAACAGTGATACCAAGAACAGATGTCTGCAAACTGCAGCCTCTATGCCCTGCCTGCACCACAGGGATGTGGCTGCATTGCACACCTGGTTGCCCAGAGACATGTTCTGCTACACCCTTCTCTTCACGCACACCATGCCCTTCTGCTGGGCAGGTAGGTGCAGATCAGCCCCTTCCCTCCTTTTCCAGGTCCAGCCAGTCTCAGAGAGCAGGGAACCCTCTCACTTGGCTACTGCCTCAGTTAGCCCAATACAGCCTCTGTCAATGAGGCCATGCCTGCGCTGCTGCCACATCTCCCAAGCCACCACTCCCTGGCTGCAGCACACATGAACCTTCCAGTTGCTGGGGAGCTGCACCGGGACCAGACACCTGCAAACTACATTCACACCACTGCTGCCATTTTTCCCTCTCCACTCCTCTTTTCACATGTAAGAGCAGTGTGGCATCAATTTTAATCCAGAAAAAAGTGCACCCCAGGTATTAGAAGTTTGGAAAATACTGAGAGAGAGGGACCTGCAGAACAGAACACCATCGTGATTACAGTACCTGAAGAATAGCAGCAGTAGCAGAAGTTCTTTGGGAAAATATGAAGGGGTAAAAAGGAAAAAGCAGCACAGTACCCTGCCAGGTTTATAAATTGCCACTATAATTATGTTCTATATGCCTAGACTATACCAACCTAATCATCTCCACATTCCGGGGCTGTACTGCTTTAACAAGTTTCTAACTAGGTACAATGATAGGGATATCAGAACCAGAGAGATTGGAAAGCCACAAAACTGACAGGAAATTCAATATGCAATGTTTCAAGAGGTGAAAATACACTGAAGCAGCTATACAATATCCAAGGACAATGGACTAGGATTATAGCTCAGCAAGTTTTGCAGCTGTTAAGTTATAGTGACAGGCCTGACTCTAATCATCTTTGATCTCCCCTAGAAAGCAGTATCAGCACAAGAAACAAAATGGACCACCTTAAAAAACAATCACCACTTTCAGAAATCAGCATTGTACAGCTACAGGTCAGAGCAGTTATTCAGAAATGAGCTGCTGTTTTCTCCCTCATCTGATCAAATATACAGAATTTAGGATTCTGACCAAGCCCTATTTTCACCTAGTGATAACACCAAAAACTACTGTAGCTAAGGAAAATACAAATACAGCTACTGACAGTTTGCACAGACTGATTCTTTTGGGGGGGGGGAAGAGGGGGAAGAGGGGGCAGGGGGAACTGGGAGATGGGGAGAAGCCATACTGGTTTACATACAGATTGTAACCATCATCAGTATTTCCTTTTTACGAAAGTATAGCCGTCTACTAATGCCATCATTTCCAGTACCAATACCAGCAATTCCACTCAGACCTTCTATGTGACAGCTTTACCCATCACCAAATCCAGGAGAATGGGCTAATTTATTATTTAATTTTTTTTAAATTAAGCTACATTTGCTTCTGAATAAAGCGTCAAGTCATTTAGCTTTGAATTCCCTGAAAAATAATTGGCTGGTAATAGATCAACTATGCTAACAGATATTTAAAGCACAGGCTCCTTTTCTTCCAGCTTTGGCTCTCTATCTACCCGAAGCCATTCAATAACATGGGGACATGATAGGTTTGCCTTCAAAAATAGCTACTAAAATAAA